ATAGAAGGAAACTTATTAAATATGATAAAGATTGTCTATAAAAAACCCGTAACTGGGCAGCCCAGGTGGCTCAGCGGTTTAGAGCCACCTTTGGCCCAGGGCCTGATCCTGGAGACCCGGGATCAAGTCCCATGTCAGGCTCCCTGCATGGAGCCTGCTTCTCTCTCTGCCTGTGTCTCTGCCTCTCTCTGTGTCTCTCATGAATAAATAAATAAAATCTTAAAAAAAAAAAAAACCCACAGCTAACTTGATACTTAATGGTAAAAAACTGCTCCCCTCCCCCTGCCCCGCTAAGGTCAGCAATAAAACTGGTATCTGTTCTCACCATGTCTATTCAACACTGCCCTGGAAGTTCTAGCCACTCAAGAAAAAGGAAAAACATCCATACTGGAAAGGAAGAAATAAAACTATATTTGTTGATGACATGATCTTGTATATGGGAAATCCTAAGGAATCCACCCCCCAAAAAAATCTATTAAAACTGATAGTTCTGCAATTTTGCAGGATACAAGATTTGTATACAAAAATAGATTGTAGGGGATCCCTGGGTGGCTCAGTGGTTTGGAGCCTGCCTTTGGCCCAGGGCGTGATCCTGGAGTCCCGGGATCGAGTCCCGTGTTGGGCTCCCTGCATGGAGCCTGCTTCTCCCTCTGCCTGTGTCTCTGCCCCTCTCTCTCTGTGTCTCTTGTGAATAAATAAATAAAATCTTTAAAAAAATAGATTGTATTTACTAATAATCTGAGACACATTATGAAAACAATTCCATTTGCAATAATATAAAAAAGAATAAAATATGTATCATTTAAAAGAAGTATAAGACTTATCAACTGAAACTACAAAAGATTATTTGAAGATTTAAGTAAATGGAAAGGAATCTGACATCCGTGGGTTAGAAAATGTGATATTGTTAGAATGATAATACTTTCCAACCTTGATCTATGGTTCAATACAATCCCTGTCAAAACCTCAGCTGCCTTTGCAAAAGTTGTTTTTTTTTTTTAATAAGATTGCATTTATTTATTCATGAGAGACACAGGCAGAGGGAGAAGCAGGCTCCATGCAGGAAGCCCGATACGGTCGGTACTCGATCCCGGGTCTCCAGGATCAGGCCCTGGGCCGAAGGCAGTGCTAAACCGCTGAGCCACCTGGGCTGCCCTGCTTTTGCAAAAGTTGATAGGCTGAATCTAAGATTCATATAGAAATATAACGGGATCCAGAATAGCCAAAACAATGTTGGAACGAACAAAGTTAAAGGACTTGTTTCCTGGGTTTTAAAACAACTACAAACACTATGTATGCAAGGCAGTGTGCATAGGGAGTGACCTATAGATCAATGGACCATTATTAAGAACCCAGAAGTGGGCAGCCCGGGTGGCTCAGCGGTTTAGTGCCCGCTTTCAGCCCAGGGCGTGATCCTGGAGACCTGAGATCGAGTCCCATGTCGGGCTCCCTGCGTGGAGCCTGCTTCTCTGTCTGTCCCTCATGAGTAAATAAATAAAATCTTTAAAAAAAAAAAAAAGAACCCAGAAGTAAGTGATTACATTTATGTAAGCAATTGATTTTTGACAATAGTGCCGAAACCATTCAATGGGGAAAGAATAATCTTTTCAATAAATGGTGCTGGGACAACTACCTATTGACATGCAAAAGAATGCCCTTGGACCCCCTTCCTCACACCAAACACAAAAGTTAACTCAAAACAGTTCACATACCTGACCCAAAAGTGGGTGGGCCCAATAGAGGTCAGGAATGAGAACAAGCAACAGGAGGAGGTGGCAGGTGCAGCCATGGTGAGACCTCACTTTTCCATTCTGCTGCTTTTCCTGCCACCACTGACCTCCAAAGATCAGCTACCCTTTGGTGAAGATTTAAAAAAAAAAAAAAAAAGCAAGTAGCAATTGGACAGAAGAATGGCATTGAAATATTTCCAGCAACAAGTGCTTTGGAGGCGTTCAGAAAGGTTTTGAATCGGAGAGTTAAACTGAACTACAAGGGCAGCCCTGGTGGTGCAGCGGTTTAGCGCCGCCTGCAGCCCGGGGCGTGATCCTGGAGACCTGGGATCGAGTCGCACGTCGGGCTCCCTGCATGGAGACTGCTCCTCCCTCTGCCTGTGTCTCTGCCTCTCTCTGTGTATCTCTCATGAATAAATAAATTTTTTTAAAAAATAATAAAATAAACTGAACAGCAAAATGAAACTTGCTGTCTACTTACCACCAAACGCATAAACTGGAAAATGCCCTAGTTTAACTCAGAACAAAATTTTAAAGTCTAATTATTGGGACACCTGGGTGTCTCAGCGGTTGTCTGTCTTTGGCTCAGGCCGTGATCCCTGGGGTCCCGGGATCAAGTCCCACATCCCGGGATCAAGTCCCACATTGCACTCCCTGTAAGGAGCCTGCTTCTCCCTCTGCCTGTGTCTCTGCCCTTCTGTGTCTCTCATGAATACATAAAATATTTTTTTAAGTCTGGTGGGGTTTGTGTGTGTGTGTGTGTGTGTGTGTGTGTGTGTGTGTTTTGTTTGTTTTTTTTAATCAAGCTGTTTCTGAACGTGGCCTTGTTGTCCTTGTCCCAGATGCCAGCCATTGTGGCTGCAGTAAGGAAGCAAAGGAGAGGGCTAGGACTCTGGCCCTGGTGCTGGGTTTTAAGTGAAAGCTACTGAAGAGCCTTGGAAAACTAACAACAGAATGTACTATTCTGTAACTGAGGAGCTACCCCAACTCATAAATGCCAATTTTCCAGTGGGCCCCAAAGGATGTCTATTTTTGGCCACTCCATGAGAGGCCATGGAGCTCTGATTTGTGCTTGGAGGAATCCTGGAAAGTCTAAATCTGTGTCAGCAGTTGCTCCAGTTTGCAACACAGTGCTCTGTCCTTGGGGTAAAAAAGCCTTTACTGGATATTTGGGAACAGATCACAGTAAATGGAAGGCTGATGGTACCACTTATCTGGTGAAGTCCTATCCAGGTTCACAGCTGCCTGTACAGAAAGTCCCTGTTGTTTTTAGATTACAAGAGGGTTCTGACCATAGTTACTTCGCCGCCCATCAGATATCTTGCAAAATATATGAATACGGGGATCTCTGGGTGGCTCAGTGGTTTAGCACCTGCCTTCGACCCAGGGCGTGATTCTGGAGTCCCGGGACTCGAGTCCTGTGTCAGGCTTTTTTTTTTTTTAATTGGGGGTAAGGTTTCCCACATTTGGGGAACTTGCTGGGGTCAGCACACCCCGAGTGTGATGGATAAGCCTCGGCCCTGGAAAACCACCTTCATTACCTTTGGAAAAGACTTCACAAGGTGCCCCAAGTAACACATTCAGGTCTTGCTCCTGTTTGCGGCACCCATCCTGACCAGTGGTTTCTCAACAGCTGTATGTTGTCCACTCCCCGCAAATGGCATTTAATAAACCGTACCCACTATACAGATGAGCAAAAGACAAAGAAACAGCACTAGCATTCCAGAATAAGAATATATTTATTTAAACATGCCAGAAGTCCAGGACAACCCAGCTTCATAATTCAGGACACATTCTGTAACTCCTGTTCTCTCCTCAGAGCAGACTGCTGGAACACACACGCAGGTGAGAAAATACATCTAGTGTAAAAGCAGGTCTTATTTCCAAACTATATATTATACTTTATAACCTCAGTAAGTCAGAAAAACTAACTTTGGGTTTATTTGTGTAACACAGTAAGTCAAAGGTGACTTTAAACAGAAAAAAACATGCAACACGGAATGGTCTCTGCAGGTGGCTCTGTGGGTGTGATGGGGAAAGTGTACACGCCCAGACCTCAGGACCAGTCACACAGCATATTACACAAGTATGACAAGATGTCACAACGAGCATTCGGATGTCATCTGAACTAAAGATATGTGTTATGAAAAGATAATCTGTAACATCTCACAAGTATATGTAAGACAGCTATTCTTGTAGCTACCGTGAGAGCAAATCCCCTAGCTGACAGTAAAAATAGACCTGGGAGGTGCCACAGCCCCAAATCAGGCTCTCTCCTGGCTGACTCCCCTGGATGGTCAGGTAATTCAGGATGCCTTGTGCTGAGCCAAACCTGCCAATGAGCCAAGCTCACGGGTGCTAACAGTGAAGGTCACTTCTAAGCGCACAAAATCACCTTGAATGTGAGAATGTTAACAATTAAAGGCATAACACAGGAAACAGAAGCAGCTTCTGGCCGTTTACCGGCCTTGCTGACAGAAGCTGGGGGGGACGAACGTCTCCTGGTGTATTTGTTGTAAAGGGTCATCGTGCAAGGAGACCCGGTAAGAGCATGACCTGCCCACTGCAGGGCAAGCAATGCTCACCAGGGGCCTGGAGGGCAGCTCCCCACTCCTGCCGTGCCCGGCACCCCTCCCTCCTCCTGCCCCTTCTCCTCCCTGACTTCTCCCGGTTCCCTCTGTGGACTCAAACCCGCCAAGAAGCCACCAAGGAGCTTGTGACAGCAGACACGAAGGACTGCTGCCTCTACCAACACCAGGTGTCAGCTGTGTTGCTGGGAGCGGCCAGGCCAACAGAAGAGGACACAAGTCAGGAGCCATTGCCACGGGGCTGATGGAGTAGGCCACATGAGAGACCCCAGATTGGGGGGGGGGGAGGAAGGGGTCAGCTTGTCCAAGGCAGGAGAAGCCCATCCACCATGGGCCCAGGAGCCGGCAGCCCTGGGAAGCACATTGTGAGAGGTGGTGGCCGCATTTACTATGGCAAGAAACAAGCTGTCCTAAACAACTGACGTGGGGTGGCAGGGATGTCCCTGTCTTCCATAACCCCAAACACTGTTTAGTTGGCTTTCATCCTGTACCAAACGAGAACAGACTTTGCACGAATGTTTTCCTAAATTTCGCTTATGTACCATGCATGTCACACCCAAACCATGCATGTCACACCCAAACTGGCAGCAGCTCTGGGTGAGGCCCACCCAGAGGTTTGCTCTGGCTTTAACTCTGGGTACCAAAAGTTCTGTGACATTAAACCCCACTCTCCCCTCCAACTCTGCAGACAGTGGAGACAGCACAGCTTCATTGACTTCGTTTCTTCTTTGGGAAAAAGGTGTACTTGGTAGGATTAAACTCTTCCCAAATACGTTCAAATTCTTCCAGAAAAAGCCTCACATACTCCTCATCCTCCATAATCAAAACATTTTCTCTGTTGTTCTGGATGGCTTGTGTGGTCCAGTTAAGGGAGCCCGTGATCAGCACCTTCTTGTCCACGATGGCGAACTTGTGATGCATGTAGCCAAGGTCCTGATCATGTCGCACCTGGATGCCTGCAAAAAGGGCAAGTCAGCCTTCGCCATCCCCTCCGGCCACACTGTGGTGTGAGCACCTGAGCTCCTCCTCAAGCGTGGGCCACTTTCTAGCAGCCGCAACTGTGGCTATTTGGTTCCGGTTCAGTAGGAAGCAGGAAGCCTGTCCCGCTCCAGCAGGTGTGGGTGGCACCCCCAGAAGGGACCAGCTCTGCACTCCGGGTGAGGTCTGCCCACCCACACTTCTCGGGATAACCCAACTAGCACGGGCCTGTCAGTGGTCCCGGGAGGAGCCAGCCATGAATCTGGCTGGGGCAACCGCAAGTGGGGTTTCCCTGCCTTCCAGCTCTCGCTCTGGAAACACCACGGTTGCACGGGGGAGGGGGTGCACCTGGAGCAGGAAGACTGCCGGAGAAGCGAGGCCCTGCGGCTTGGGCTGAAGGAGTTCAGCCCTCTTCGCTCCCAGCAGAAGGACCCCTGTCTGCTACAGAAAGGAATTCGCCCTGGCTGCGCCTCCTCGGCTCACCGAAGAGCCTGCTGTCCGCAAGCTCCCCGAGGCCAGGACCCTGGAGACCTGCCCAGCTCACCAACAATCTATCTGCTCAGTGAACAAGACCGTGAGAAATGTGATTTAAAAGAACAGTTTAGGGACACCCAGGTGGCTCAGCGGTTTAGCACCGCCTTCAGCCCAGGGTGTGATGCTGGAGAACTGGGATAGAGTCCCACCTTGGGCTCCCTGCATGGAGCCTGCTTCTCCCTCTGCCTGTGTCTCTGCCTCTCTGTCTCTCTGGTGAATAAATAAATAAAATCTTAAAAAAAAAAAAGGCGAAATACCGTTGTCCTCCTCTAGCCCTCTGCGTCAGCCTGACCGTGGCCTTGTGCGCATGCCTGCTCCTATGACACACTGCCCAGAGTCGGCCAGCAAGTGGGCTGGCAGATTTGGTTTTTGAGTTGGCTCTTGATTTCCTGGGTGCTGACTGGGCCGCTGTCATTTCAGTCTGCAGTCGTCAAAAACTCAACTGGCTGGGCTACGTTCCCTGCTCTACCCGCCACAGGCTTTCCCCACAGTGTCCCAAGGCCAACATGGGTCATGAAAATGAGGGTAAGGACAAGGGCTCGTGGCTTCCCCGGGGTCACCGGGCAGGCCCCCAGATCTCCCTCCACTAGCTGGGAAGACACAGCCTGCTCACTCCCCGGGGCTCACATCCGGGTATCCAGCATAAGAACCCCCTGCACAGAAGCCCAGCCCCCGGGGGAGGGCAGCTGTTCCTTACAGATGGCCCCGGGGTCTCTCCAGGGTAAAACTCTCCCGACCTCACAAGGCCACGTGGGCCATACGCGGGGTCTCCCCCATCCTCAGGCCCCTGCAGTATCCGCCCTTAGCATCCCCACCACAGCCTAAGGCCCGGGTCAGAGCAGGCGCCGGGCTGGGGGCCTGACGCCGCTCCCCCGAGGGCTCCCCGGCCCTGAGCCCCGAGCCTGGGCTCCGGCCTCCGCGGCCTCGCTTACCTGCCTTGCGGAGCAGGCCGATCTGCGAGCCGTTCAGGGCCATGTAGTCGCAGTCGGTGATGACCCGGACGCGCACCCCGCGCTGGTGCAGCAGCTGCACCGCGCGGCCCAGCTGCGGGCTGGAGAAGGCAAAGAGGCAGAGCTCGAGGCTGGCGCGGGCGGCCAGCAGGGCGCGCAGCAGGCGGCTGAGCGAGCTCTCGCCGTGGGGCAGGCTGCACCGGCAGCAGGCTGGGGGCCCCGACGGCGCCTCCCCCGGGGCCTGCAGCAGGGCCTCGGTGCAGGTCACCTGCGACGGGAAGAAGAGCACCTGGCGCCGCGGCGGCCTCTGCTGCTGCCGGCGCCCGGCCCGCAGCCAGCACAGCACGGAGGGCAGCGCCTCCAGGGCCAGCGCGAGGCCCACGGCCGCCACGGCCGCCGCCGGCCACCGGAACCGCTCCATGCCGCCTCGGCCCGACGACGACCCGCGGCCCCGCCGCCCACCGCGCCTGCGCGGCCGACGGCCCCGTACTCCTCCCCCCACAACCGCCCGCGACAGCGCGTCCGACCCCGTCCTACACACACACACACACACACACACACACACACACACACACACACACACTGCCCATCACGCATGCGCGCCGCCAGCCCTGTGCATCGCCCCTGCCAACTGCGCCTGCGCAGCCCCTGGCACGTGAGCTCGCCCCTCACCCTCCGCCCACCGCGCCTGCGCCCCCCGCAGCCACGTGCGCCCAACCTTTCCCCACCCCTCCCCCCGCCATGCGTGAGCTCCTGCCTCCCGCGCCGCTCGCGCCTCTGCCGGCCTCCCCGTCCGTCTGCGCAGCCGCCGGCCGCGTGCGGAGGCCCGTGCTCGCGTGGCCGCGCTGAGGTCCGCGCACCGCCCGCCGACGCCGACGCCGCCGACGCCTCCCGCTCCCCGCGGGGCCGCGAGAGCCCAGGCCGTCGCCCCTCCGAGGGCGGGAGAGGCTGCTGACTCGGTGCACGCCTTCCCTTCCGCCCGGGCTGCGGCCTGAGACGCGCGCTGTGTTCCAGGAGCCCCTCGCTGGTGGAGGGCCTCAGGCCGCCGTGTCGCAGACCGTGGGACGGCCCACGCCCGGCTTTTGGCCCCTGTATTTCTGCCGCCTCTCCCAGTATCAGCTTGGCATCGGAGGGCGCCTGTTCTGCTCTAAGCACAGACCTAGTGAAGACCGGGAAGCCCTTGGTCGCACCTTAGCGAGCCCCAGCCCCGCTGTGCACCGCTTGGGAGGAGAGAGAGGAGAGAAGACAGTGTAAGAATTTCTTGTCTATTTTTTCCTTTCCTGAATCCTGGGCAGGACTTTGCATGGTTAATTTGAAGAGTATCGGTGGTCTCCAGAAGGAAGTGATAACTCCCCTACAGTCTCCTCCTTGTACCAGCTGATGGTCTCTGCATGACTTGGCAGCTCTTAAAAAACATACCCCCAAATTGGGGAGAAGGAGCTGATGTGAGTAACCTTGGAAAATCATGTAAGGCAAACACAAAAGGAACTGCTCATAAACACTGCACTCTGGTTGGTCCATTGATTTCCCGACGGCGGGACTGCCTGTAGCACCCCGGGACTGAATGGATCAAGAAACGTTGGCAGCTGGTAGCCTGAGCCAGGGTTCTCTCTGTTGCATAGGGTAGGAGATGAGATGCCTGCGGTACTGGAGTGGAGTCAGAGATACCACAGTGAAGTCATGTTTAGCTCAGTATGTATATTAACATACATCACAGGTCAGGTTTGACATACATGTGCCACATACCTCAGTCCCCTCAGAGGCCAAGACACCCCAGCAGCAATGAGCATACCTAGCTCCCAGATCATTTATTTTTTTTAAGATTTTTAAAAATTTATTTATTCATAGAGACACAGAGAGAGAGAGGTGCAGAGACACAGGCAGAGGGAGAAGCAGGCTCCATGCAGGAAGCCTGACATGGGACTCGGTCCCGGGTCTCCAGGATCACACCCCGCGCTGCAGGCAGTGCTAAACCACTGAGCCACTGGGGCTGCCCCAGGTCTTCATTTCTTTTTTTTTATTTATTTTTATTTTTTTAAACATTCAAGTTTATTTTTTTATATAAATTTTTATTTATTTATGATAGTCCACAGAGAGAGAGAGAGAGGCAGAGACACAGGCAGAGGGAGAAGCAGTCTCCATGCACCGGGAGCCCGACGTGGGATTCGATCCCAGGTCTCCAGGATCACGCCCTGGGCCAAAGGCAGGCGCCAAACCGCTGCGCCACCCAGGGATCCCCAGGTCTTCATTTCTAAACACCATTCTCCAACCAAAGGAACCAGGACTCCTTGAAGAAATAACTGGTTTTAGGGTTGGGCAGGGAAACGGTAAGATGTGTTTCAGGTATCTTCTATTACCAGAAAGTGAGGATGAGGCATGGAGACATGACCGCAGGACACAGGGGTAACAGAAAAGAACTCTTAGTGGCCAAAACTGGAGCAAGTTGAGAAATAAAGTAAATAATGCAGTATTGGTTATAACCCAAGTACAAGACAAACATGCACGACTCCATGCTGATATAAGTAAATGACATTTTAATAAAGAAACGAGAGATTTGAGTCTTCTTTACAGAAGAATTCCAAATAATATAAGTAGATGTTCCCTGTCACAGGAGGTAGACCTAAATCTCCCCGCCCCTTTGGAGGCTAGACTTAGTGATTATAGTAGGGAAAGGGGAAAAATAGAGTTTACATGGAGAAACTTCGTAAACACTGCCTCAACCACTAACATAGCCAGAGATGTGTGAATGTTACATACCCCCAATATGAAATTTTTTTGGTTTTTTTTTGGGGGGGGAGTTGTTTTGTTTGTTTTTTTATGGAGAGAGAGCGAGCATGGGGAGAAGGAGTGGAAGAGGAGAATCTCAAGCAGACTCCCTGCTGAGGGTGGAGCCTGAAGTGGGGCTCGATCTCACCACTCCAAGATCATGACCTGAGCTGAAATCAAGAGACACTTAATGGACTGAGCCACCCAGGTGCCCCTCCCGTGAGATGACTGATAAGAAGGGCACTTCAACTCTGTGGTGGTCCTTCCCAAAGCTCATGAGCCCAGATCAATCACGAGGAAAAAACATCAGAAATCCAGATTGAAGGACATGCTATCACATTGTGCAGGATATCTGGCCAAGGACATGAAAAAAGGGAACAATTTAGAAACTTGTAACAGACCAGCAAAGACTGGGGAGACCTGACAACTGAATGCAATGTGGTGCCCTGGCCTGGGTCCTGAAACAGAAAGATAAGGCTACTGGGAAAAGTGGTGAAATCTGAATAAAGTCAAATTTAATTAATAGTAATATACCAATGTCAGTTTCTTCACTTTGACAAATGTATGATAGTGATGTAAGGGAAACCAGATGAGTATATGCAAAGTATATGCAAACTCTCTGTGTCCCTTTGAAACTTTTCAGTAAATCCCAAAGTCTTCCAATTAAAGTTTATTAAGAATATCAAACTTCGAGAGCACCTGGGTGGCTTAATGGTTGAGCATCTGCTTTCGGCTTAGGTCGTGATCCTAGGGTCCTGGAATCAACTCCCACATCAGGCTCCCCCTAGGGAGCCTGCTTCTCCCTCTGCCTATGTCTCTCCCTCTCTCTGTGTGCCTCTCATGAATAAATAAATAACATCTTTAAAAATAAAAAAAAATTGGGCAGCGTGGGTGGTTCAAGTGGTTTAGTCCCACCTTCAGCCCAGGGTGTGATCCTGGAGACCCGGGATTGAGTCCCACATTGGGCTCCCTGTATGGAGTCTGCTTCTCCCTCTGCCTGTGTCTCTGCCTCTGTCTCTCTGTGTGTCTCTCATGAATAAATAAATAAAATCTTAAAAAAAAAGATAAAAGGCTGAGTGAAAAAGACAAAAATTAAAAATTAAAATATCAAACTTCCATCTTCCATCTCATCAAGCTATCCTACTCCTAAATATCACCCAAGAGAAATGAAAGCCTATGTCTATGTATCTACACAAAGACTTGTACATAAATAGTCACAGCAGGTTTATTCATAATAAACCAAACCTTGATACAACACAAATGTCCATCATCAGGTAAATAACCAAAACTTCACCTATCTATACAATGGAATACTATTAAGCAATAAAAAGACATAAACTACCGGTATATATACTACAACATTGATGAATTTCAAGAAGGCTGAGTGAGGGCAGCCCCAGTGGCTCAGCGGTTTAGCGCCGCCTTCAGCGCAGGGTGTGCTCCTAGAGACCTGGGATCGAGTCCCACATCAGGCTCCCTGCATGGAGCCTGCTTTCTCCCTCTGCCTGTGTCTCTGCCTCTCTCCTCTCTCTCTCTCTCTCTCTCTCTCTCTCTCTCTCTCTCTCTCTGTGTGTGTGTGTGTGTGTCTCCATGAATAAATAAATAAAATATTAAAAAAAACTATTAACTTTAGCAGGAGTTAAAAGAGGCATTAAATACCACTAGTATTGAACAGGACATCCTTAAGAGTTACAATTGGAGGAATTTAGGAAGGATGCTTAAGTAATCATGCAATACTCTGAACAAATGCTCTAGACAGTCTGTTCTTCGAGAAGTGTTAAGTATTGAAACCCTCGTCTCTCTTCAAACACAAGGAGAAGGCTCAAGACCCATAATGTTTTCTCTCTCTCCGTCTGTGTACAAAACTGCAAAAACGCAAAAGCAGACTGAGTCAGCAAGCCTGCACACGCTCCGCTGCCTTCCATGTCCTCTGCGCCCTCATGGGAGTCAGTCTTCAAAAGCGGCACTGTTCTCAGGTGAAAAAGCCCACAACTGTCCCTAAAAACGAATCAAAAAAAAGTTTCTTATCAAAATAAGTTTCACTATGTGTTCGAAATTCAAATTACAGATTCCTAGGAAATGAAGACTAACACTTCTGCTGGGTTCCACCTGCCAAGGGGCCAGTCAGTAGCCCAGAAGACAACTGGTAAACTTCCCTTTTGAACAGGACAGCAGTTTTCCCAGGGAATGTCAGTCCCCAGAAAATAACATCATCCCCAAGATGAGGCGCGCAGTGGGGAGTCATCTTTGCCCCACATTTATCCTTGACCCGTGTGACCTTGGAGTCCCCTCCCACTCTGAGAGGATGACCAGAACACAGGGCTGGCAGTTTAAGGGCTCCACTGTCATCCAGGGAATTCTTCCTGTCACCTTCCTCTCAAACAGATTTACCTTTAATTTTGTTTTGTTTTGTTTTGTTTTTTAGGGACGCCTGGGTGGCTCAGCAGTTGAGTGCCTGCCTTTGGCTCTGAGCGTGATCCCGGGTTCAAGGATCGAGTCCCACATCGGGCTTCTTGTGGGGCGCCTACTTCTCCCTCAGCCTTTGTCTCTGCCTCTCCCTCTCTGTCTCTCATGTATATAAATTATAAATATAATATAAATAATCTTCTTCATGAGAGACACAGAGAGAGAGAGAGACAGAGACACACACAGGCAGAGGGAGAAGCAACCTCCATGCAGGGAGCCCAATGTGGGACTTGATCCTGGGATTCCGGAATCACATCCTGAGCAGAAGGTCAACGCTCAACCACTGAGCCACCCAGGTGTCCCATCCTTTAAATATTTTTAATGGATGAGCTATTCCCCAAAGTTGAACAAGATGTGAAGCACACATGTGTAGACACTCAAGAGATGTCTTTGGAATAAATGAGTGGGATCTCATCAACTCCAAACACTACCTTTGAGAGGAGCATCGAAAATCACTAAAGCAACTGAAACTTTCACACCACAGAGAACTGGCCTCACTGGTGTCATTTTTTTTTAAATATTTATTTATTTATTTATTTATTTATTTATTTATTTATTTATTTATTTATTTATTTATTTATGATAGACACACACACACACACACACACACACACAGAGGCAGAGACACAGGAGGAGGGAGAAGCAGGTTCCATGCCAGAAGCCCGATATGGGACTCGATCCCGGGACTCCAGGATTGCGCCCTGGGCCAAAGGCAGGTGTTAAACTGCTGAGCCCCCCAGGGATCCCCACTTGTGTCATTTTTTAAAATTTAGGTTAAAATACACATAAAATAGGGGCATCTGCCTGGCTCTATCAGTGATGCGTGCAACTCACTGGGTGGAGAGTTTATTTTAAAATAAAACCTTAAAAAAATACATAAAATCTACTATCCCAACTATTTTTAAGTGTACAGTTCAGCAGGATTAAAGGTGTTCACACTGTTGTGCATCCATCACCAGCATCCATCCCCATAACTCTTTCCGTCTTGGAAAACTGAAATTCCATGCCTATTAAATATTAACTCTCCATTCTCTCCTTCTCCCAGCCCTGGCAACCACCATCCCACTTTGCCTCTATGATTTTGACTACTTGAAGTACATCGTATAATTGGAATCCTACAGGATTTTTCTTTTTGTGATTAACTCATTTCATTTAAAATAATGTCCTCAAATTCATCCATGTTATGTTACAGAATTTCCCTCCTTTTTATGGTGAATAATATTCCATTGCATGGATATGACATATTTTGTTTAGCCATTCATCAGTCGATGGACAATTGGGTTGCTTCCATGCTTTAGTTGTTACAAATAATGCTGCTTGGAAGATGAAGTACAAATATCTCTTTGGCACTCTGCTTTCCACTCCTTTTGGTATATACCCATAAGTGGAATTGCTGGGTCCTAGGGTAATTCTATTTTTAATTTTTGGAGGAACCTCCATACTGTTTTCCACAGTGGCTTCACCATTTTACACTCTCACCAATGGTGCACAAAGGCTCCAATTTTCCCATATCCTCATTGACACTTAATTCCTGTTTTCTTCATAGTAGCCATCCTGATGGTGTGAGATGATATTTCATTGTACTATTGATTTGTATTTCCCTAGTGATTAGTGATGTTTGTATCTTTTCATGTGCTTGTTGGTTACTTATATATCTCTTCTGGAGGAATGTCTAGCCAAATATTTTGCCCATTTTTGAATTGGGTTGTTTCACTGTTGTTGAATTTTATGGTTCTATATATACTCTGGATATTAATCCCTCATCAGATATTTTTTTCCCATTCTGTGGCTTGCCTTTTTACTCTGTGGATAGAATCTTTTGATGTAGAAAATTATAAAATTTTGATGAAGTCCAATTTGTCTATTTTTCTTCTGTTACCTGTACCTTTGGTGTCATATCCAAGAAATCATCACCAAATTCAAAATCAAGAAGCTTTTGCCCTCTGTTTTCTTCTAAGAATTTCTCTGTTTTAGCTCTTACATTTAGGTCCTTGATTCATTTTGAGTTAATTTTTTAGTTATTATTCGTGAGGGACGGAGAGAGAGGCAGAGACATAGGCAGAGGGAGAAATAGGCTCCCTGCAGGGAGCCCAATGCAGGACTCGATCCCAGGACCCTGAAATCAAGACTTGAACCAAAGGCAGATAGATACTC